ATTGTAGTAAACAAATATGTTGCATTTGTTGTTTACCTACGTAATTCTAAGATACTGTGTAGCTGTCCTTGTTGCTCGGAAAATGCGCTGACAATTATTGTATATATTTACTGAATTTACCCAAGGGCCACTAACTATCTAGTGACCTCGAAGAGGACAGAAAGCCAGCGGCTTGTTAAAGGGCCCGCCAATTGTCTTAATGATATTTTTTAGCTGGAATTTGGCATTTACGGCTTAGCGGGTAGGCGGTTCCATGGGTTTATAGCCCTCTTGGTGGGGAAAAAAAACATCTGTTTTCAGTCCTACTTGAGAGAACACTCTCTCCAACACTATATCTGTGATTGCCCTGTTATCAGTGACTTCATACCAAATGGTATGAGGTATTTTGAGCTCTGTAATTATTTCATACACTCAGGAATATTGGAAGATATTCTTATGCTGCACCCAGATTTTGCCAGTGGAGGCTAATAGATCAGCATTAAGTATTTTGTTCTCTCCTAATTCCATGTATGACTGGCCATCCTGTGAGGTGAGGGTGTTGGATGAGCTTGTAGCTGGTTTTTGATCTACACTGTGTGGCCCTTTATACAGAATAGGGAAGCAGCACATTGCTGTGTATACCTAGTTTAAAATACATTGTTTGAGAGGAGTCTTGTAGAAACTGGTAAGAGTAATTATAATATAATGTTTACATCATTCAGTGCTTACCTCTTGTGAAAATCGCGAAGAGTTGTTTAGTCAGAGTTGATTTGTTTTTTGTATTGAGGCTGGTATTTTCTAAATTGATTCCATGTATGTCTAACCATCCTGTGAGATGGGAGTATTAGATAAACTTATAGCTAGTTTTATCTACACTGTGTAATATTCCATATAGAATAGGGTAGCAGCACATTGCTGTGTATACCTAATCTTCTTAATAAAAAAAATCAGTAATAAAGATTTTAAATTATAGTTTGTATTATTACAAATACAGTACTGTATTATCCTTATTAAATCATGTTGACCATGGATCATTAAGATCTCATGTTTATGTAATAGTCATATTTCTTTTGAACTGCTAATCCATGCTAATCATTCATTAAATTGTACATTGTCTCAATTTTTCACTTCCTTGAATATAGTGTACAGTACAAAAAGATAGGATAAAAATAAGCCAGTAATATTTCTTTCATTATATTTTTTATTTAAATAACTGCATCAATATTTTTACAGCTGACAGGATTTGTTTTCCCATACAGGTGCATTATTTGTTAAAAAAAAATTTGGTTTATTGTTACACACAATGGTGCTACATAGCCTTCCCAGCTTGGTGTCTTCTTTTAATACTTACTGATTAAAAAATAAATAATAAATACATTTTATTCAGGAAAAGTACATACAGTTGATTTACAAACATAATGTTGGATTTATAGGCAGAGCTAGTACATACAATACCTAAAGCCACTAATACTCATAGCATTTCGGGCAAGGTGTGGGGGAAAAAACACGGACTAAAACTTAATAGTAATCGGGATTAGGTATAAATTGTGTTGAAAGAAGGAATAAAAAATACAAAAAGGGGGGTTAACATAGCATAAATCAGCAATTGCACATGTTGGTGAACAGCGTTGTTTAAAAAATAGCAAGACATGGGTTGACATTTAGGAGGTAAGTTAGGTTACATGGAGTTAATTAGGCAGTACTTGGTTTAACTCTTAAACTGGTTGAGAGAGTTACAGCCTTTGACATGATTCGGGAGGTCATTCCACATTCTGGGTCCCTTGATTTGTAGAGCACTTCTAGTTTGGTTACACACAGCCAAATTGTGTAACAGGAAGAGGTCTTGGACACAAATTTGTTCCATGCTAAATGTAGAGGAATCAGCTGAGTATTCCTCGAATAAAATAAGTTGCCTCGGCTTATAAGGTAAATAAAATAAGCATTTCTCAAATAAGTAGCTGCCTCACCTCACTGCCTTACTGCTACATAGCCTTCCCGGCATGGTGCCTTCTTTTGATAATTACTTGTTCCACACCCAAATTGTATAACAGGAAGAGGTCTTGGACCCCTACTTCCCTCTCTTTTTTAATAGTCTAGTCATAATTATAGCTTTAAGTATTCAATGAATAAAGTTTTTGACATTTTTACCCTTTTCCTTACCTAACATCATTTGTGCAGCATATTTTTATTTTATGTCTCACCCAGATTTAATTTCAAAATAAAACCAAACTAAATAAATTAGAAATGGGTATGTATAGCTAAGGTACACCTTACTACTAGGTGAACAGGGGCATTTGGTGATAGTAAATGATCCCATCACCTTCTCTCATATTTCATGTTCACCAGTGTTTATTTACTTAATAACTACGGGTATAATATCTTGCTATTATAAAACTAATTCTACTATCATAAAAGACATATTTACTTTAAGTTTCAAGCAGAGAATGCATATATAACTAACACGAAGGACTCCTCTTCACTAGATAAAATTGTTATAATCTTTTGTTTATGTTCCAAAATCTTAAAATCGATCCCAGTGTTATGTAGTTGAGAAAAATTGAGTTATATCCAGTTTACGTAAAGCTACGAGTGGTCGAAACCACACTTAGATCCCGGAATGAACTTACGAAGGTTTTTCCACTTAGTGTAGCTACCTGAATACCGCCGTAGCCGCCACGAAGGCGCTAAGAAGGAAAACATTCGTAGCTAAGCAGAAAAACCTTCGTAAGTACCTTCCTGAATCTTGGCTCCAGGTCCCTGGGTCGGACTGTACTGGAAGACTGGGATCTATAGCCCCCACAACAGGGCCCGGTTTAGACCCAGACCGCACTCTTCCTCCCTGCTCCCCTCCCTCATGTGGTTGGGTCGAGCCCCAAGCTTGCTGTGGTGACCGTCTCGTCACCTTGCACGGCTCCATCTCTTATTGTGACTACTGCGCCATATGACCCGTCTCTCTCTAAGAGGTTCTCGTCGCCGTCCCCGCCACGGCCGTTCTCGTATGCTCCCTTCCCACACTAATTCATACCATGCTTTGTTTGGTCCTGCTACGAGGACTAAGTTTTTTGACCACCGACCTTTATATTCTACCCCTCCTGACAATTTTCCCTTCATAGCCATCTTGTTGATTCAGTAGATGCCTGTTACTTTTAACCCCGCCCGTCTTGGGACCCGTGTCGTTGCTGCTGCTCCTCAGGATGGAGCCATCCAGCGGTCCAAGAATTAATGCAAAAGCAAACTGAACTTGGGAACGCCCTTGATCAAATTAAAAGGGCGCAGGACCAAATCCTCCAGTTCCTGCAACAGCAGAGTCCATCATGTGAAGGGCCAACATGCCAGAGTCTGGTACAAGGTGGTACAAGGTACAAGCTGTCATGGTATATGACAGCGGACACAACAATGCTCCCATAACATCAGTGCACACAGTACCCCCAGTGCACACAGTACCCCCAGAGCACACAGTACCCCCAGAGCACACAGTACCCCCAGAGCACACAGTACCCCCAGTGCACACAGTACCCCCAGTGCACACAGTACCCCCAGAGCACATAGTACCCCCAGTGCACCCAGTACCCCCAGAGCACACAGTACCCCCAGAGCACACAGTACCCCCAGTGCACACAGTACCCCCAGTGCACACAGTAACAGCAATGCACTCACAGGTCACCACAGATTAGACAATAACAAAAGTGAACATCAAAATAATGCTCAAAGTGCATCTGTTAGTATCCATTTTGAAGTTGTTTGCTAACAGGAAAGAACATCTCACTCTATTACAATGGAATTGCAATGGAGTTCGCAATAGAATTAATGACATCATACAGTACGTCCGTGGACACCAAACTGACGTCATAGTGCTACAAGAAACACTAGTGGGTGATGACTTCAACCCAAGATTCAGCGGTTATCTGAAGTTCTACCTTCCAGCTGGGGAAAAAAAAACGGAGCCTCACTACCTTTATCACAACGCTATAAATGCTTCACCCACGTACTACAAATACAAATAATCGCCAACAGAACCTAACCTAACCTATCCTATGCCTATATATACACAATATCCTAATATATTATAATATTAATTTATACTTGAGAAAATTCCCGTTTTGAATGAACAGCATGTTAAAATTTATGAATGCGTCTGTGGGGTTGACCGCTGGATGTACAACCCGTCCTCGACTCAAGTCCATTACATCCAGCGGTCAACCCCACAGACGCATTCATAAATTTTAATATGCTGTTCATTCAAAACGGGAATTTTCTCAAGTATAAATTAATATTATAATATATTAGCATATTGTGCATATATAGGCATAGGTTAGGTTAGATGTTTAGGTTCTGTTGGCGATTATTTGTATTTGTAGTACGTGGGTGAAGCATTTATAGCGTTGTGATTCGAACAAAATTCGTCAGTGAAGCACTTGTTCCGGATATGTTCGAACGTCAGCAGTTGTGAGTCGTGTGTAAACCGCTTTTCATTCATAAACAGGGGAGTTGGCGGGTGGATGGAATCACTTTTGGATCTTTGTTTGGAGGACGGGCTGGGATGTAATGGACTTGAGTCGAGGACGGGTTGTTTTGGTCGTAATACAAGGCTGTAAATGCTTCACCCACGAACTAAAATACAAATAATCGCCAACAGAACCTAAACATCTAACCTAACCTAAGTCTAACTATACATAGTATTTTTTAGTAATAATAGTAAATTATTACATAGTAATAATTTATATATTAGAACAAACCAATTTTTAATACACAGTTTGATAAAATTGATGAATGTGTCCTGGGAGGACGGCCGCTGCTCTAACCAGCCTAGTGTGAGGCCGGGTTGTTCTACCTTAAATGTATTATTATATACATTCAGTGATAATATGAATACAATCATTAAATCCTGTAGTATTACTCTATGTATTAAAATATATTGCTTTGAAAACCGTATCAGTCAATATACAAAATATTGGGGGACTTTAATTACAAATTCGCGACATTTGACAATTCGGATCTGGCAACCCAGCTTAAGACAACGACCCTCGAACGCTGTCCACTTAGGCGCCAGGCCCCCCAGTGGTGGATCAGCTTGCTTGGAGTGGACATGGGGGACGCTGTCAGCAACAGTTCGTTCGACCAAGGTCGCCGGAGGCAGGAGGAATTTCGCTTGACGGAGGTAGCAGCTCGCTTGACGCAGTTGGCAGCACTCCTGATGCAAGTAACAGCACGCTTGACGCAGGTGACAGCACGCTTCACGCAGGTGAAAGCTCGCAAGAAGCAGGTGGAAGCGGACTTGAGACAAGAAGTAGCGGACTTGCCGCAGGAGGCAGCGGGCTTGCCGCAGGAGGCAGCGGGCTTGCCGCAGGAGGCAGCGGGCTTGCCGCAGGAGGCAGCGGGCTTGCCGCAGGAGGCAGCGGGCTTGCCGCAGGAGGCAGCGGGCTTGCCGCAGGAGGCAGCCGGCTTGCGGCAGGAGGCAGCCGTCTTGAGTCAGGAGGCAGCCGACTTGAGACAGGAGGTAGCTCGCTTGACGCAAGAGGGAGCTCGCTTGACGCAAGAGGTGGCTCACTTGACGCAAGAGGCAGATCAATTGATGCAAGAGGCAGCTGGCGGGGAGCAGAGTCCAGCTTCGTGGGAGTAGAACGCCTGCCTCCCCAACATGTACCCTGGGCCCCCGAGCATGTACCCTGGGTCCCCAGCATGTACCCTGGGTCCCCCAGCATGTACCCTGGGTCCCCCAGCATGTACCCTGGGCCCCCGAGCATGTACCCTGGGCCCCCAACATCTACCCAGGGGCCCGATATCTACTGAACCCCAGCATCTACCCTGGGGCCCCAGCATCTACCCAAAGGCCCTTAACATCTACCCTAGGCCCTTAACATCTATCCGGGGGTCCCAACATCTACCTTGGCCCTTCGTCACCTTCTTCCACTCAGCTAAGGTAGGTATTAATAATGTTTAGGGAAAATAGACAATGTACCATGAAAGTGTACAATGTACAATGAAAGTAAACAATGGGTTACCAGCAGTGTTGGATCTTCAGGTAGAGCATAGCAGTTTGCCTGAGGGGTCACTATCACTAGTGGCCTCGGCGGGGACTGGAAGCCGGCGCATATACCTGGAGCATACTTGCCTGGCCTGGCCCTGCCCACGCCCGTGCTGCGTCGTCCCGCTCCATGTTACTTTACATAATTGAACCTAACCCACCGTGTTATTTACCTTACCCATATCCTTACCCATATCCTCACCCTTATCCTTACTCTTAACCTTACCCTTATCCTTACATTTACCTTACATTTACCTTAAATTAACCTTAAATTAACCTTAAATTTAACCTTAACCTTAAATTTAACCTTAACCTTAAATTTAACCTTAACCTTAAATTTAACCTTAACCTTAAATTTAACCTTAACCTTAAATTTAACCTTAACCTTAAATTTAACCTTAACCTTAAATTTAACCTTAACCTTAAATTTAACCTTAACCTTAAATTTAACCTTAACCTTAAATTTAACCTTAACCTTAAATTTAACCTTAACCTTAAATTTAACCTTAACCTTACCTTACCTCTAACTTGCCTTAACCTGTAGGAGCAGGTGTGAGCGGTGCAGGCTCTGTAATTCACATTGACTTTTGTTCCATATTCCCAGTGTGTGCTCTGTACAACATTCTCCAGTAGTATGTATACCCAAGCCTGAGCCGCATGTGTACAGTGTCACTTTTGAGCATTTCTCCTTTTACCATGCAGTCCACCAAGTGGTTGGGCACTATTCCTTCCTGCCTAGCCCGTCCCAAATCCATATCCCGACCCTTTCCCAGTGTTATATAGTAGTATTGGATTGGTGCTTTCCCCTGATATTTCCCTTCATTTTACCGTAAATCGGTGTTTTGAATCGTATGATTGTGTTGCATGGTTTGACTTCCCTCGTACATAATTGTGTTGAAGGCTTTGATTTTACAATATACCTCTCTTCGAAACTGCTGCCCAAGCCTGAATATTTTTTTTCAATTTGCTATTTATTTCTCATTATTAAAATACATTCACTGTCAACTTGTGGTTTTGATGTGGTGTTCCGCCACCTCGTTGACCACTATTCCAACATGAGATGGAATCCACATGAATTTAATTTTTTTGTGACCTTTCACCTGTGTCTCATTTATCCTATTCTTACAAACCTAAACTATGGTCATGAAGATTGGATTTAGATTAAAGAATCAACTGCTCCTCGGCCATCGACAAATAAAACTATTTTCGTATTGCTGGACTTCTTCCAAACCAGCCGGAATGGCCTTCAGTTCAGCTTGTGTGGGTGATATATAGTTACTAAGTCACAGGTTCAATTTTCCTGTTCATAATTCCAGACTCGGTGCCAGTCGGCCGAGCGGACAGCACGCTGGTCTTGTGATCCTGTGGTCCTGGGTTCGATCCCAGGCGCCGGCGAGAAACGATGGGAAGTTTCTTTCACCCTATGCCCGTTACCTAGCAGTAAAATAGGTACCTGGGTGTTAGTCAGCTGTCACGGGCTGCTTCCTGGGGGTGGAGGCCTGGTCGAGGACCGGGCCGCCGGGACACTAAAAAGCCACGAAATCTAAAGATAACCTCAAGATTCCCTTTATCAGGACACTACAATTAACTGTCCTGCCATCTTCCGCCACCGACCCGTCACAATATATGTCAACTATTGCCTCTTGGTAACCCAGTTATCGTGCTTCCATACACCGTAGTTGTCCCGGTTCATGCTGAATCCTTTTAACCTTCTGGGGTAAAATTTTCACTTAAATTTTCTGTATTTTCCAGGGAGAAGTAGTCCTCCTACACTGTCGAGTCCCTGAGGTCATTAGCCTCGTATGGCAAGTGTCTTGTGTTGCTGGAGGTGTGTGCGCATCTCTCAAGCAAGTCTGAACATGTTAACTATTGGAAGGGCATATGCAAGCAATTGTGGAGTTTGGCGCCTACTGTAAAATGTATTCATCACCCAGCAGGAGCAGCACCTGTCTCAACCATCATAGTCAGCTGGTATTTTTGAGTTATAAAATATGTAAAGTATTCACACAGTCCTATGCACTCTTTGTGGTTAATCAGATCCCTGCTTCACACACATTAGGCTAGAATCGCTACCCATATCCTCTCCGTATTATTAATAACAAGCTGTGAGCTCTTTACATGTAACCCATACCCATGGCTTTCCTCCCTACCACTGAAATAGGTGGCAGGAAATGGGTCCTGGCTAGACTGTAATGGGCCCTCACACACACGACTCGTGGCTCCATAATGGAAGAGAGATAGGGACATTATTATACAAACAACATTATGCCACTTAGTCACTCCACACCTCAAATAATGCCCCCCCCCCTGTCTTTGGATAATTTTCAAAACATCACATGCAAGAATTATTGGGTTGATGACACTAGCCAAACTCATTTGGTTAAAAAAATGCATCTATAAAAGATTTGATTGAGGGACTAGCGACGTAAATGAACACTGTTGATGTCTCATATATATGTGTATATGTATGTATATGTATGTATATGTGTGTATGTGTATGTATGTGTATGTATGTGTATGTATGTGTGTATGTATGTGTGTATGTGTGTATGTATGTGTGTGTGTGTGTGTATGTGTGTATGTATGTATATATGTATATATGTATGTGTGTATGTGTGTATGTGTGTATGTGTGTGTATGTATGTGTATGTATATGTATGTATATGTATATATGTGTATATATGTATATATATGCATATATATGTATATATATGCATATATGTATATATATGTATGTGTATGTATATGTATGTATATATATATGTATGTGTATATATGCGTATATATGTATATATATGTATATATATGTATATAATTAGAATGCAGTACTATACAGCTTGCATCACTTTTGAATTATATAAATCTGTTCTGGTTAGCTGATTTCGAGACTGTTCAGTGTAGCCTACTCAGACTAAAGAATTTTCAAATTTCCAGATTACAGATTCCCATTGCTAGTGAGGCTACCAGACTGATTCCCAAGGCTAGTGAGGCTACCAGACTGATTCCCAAGGCTAGTGAGGCTACCAGACTGATTCCCAAGGCTAGTGAGGCTACCAGACTGATTCCCAAGGCTAGTGAGGCTATACCAGTCAGATGGAAGAGGCCAGTGAGGCTACCAGACGGATCACCAAAGAGGTTCCAGGGATCAATGGCCCCGTGGCCTGATCTCCACCTCCCTAAGTCCATAGACTAGGGTACGATACGGTATTCAGGTTTAGGTCCACCTTGAGCCAGGTGCTTGACCACTTTGTATAATGTTGAAGAAGAATTTGGGGCTGGAAAAATGTTGTTCTTGCCCATTTGTATATAGGTCAGAGTTTTGTATATTTAGTGTTCACATCGTTCAATTTTCTTAGACCAGTCTCTTGTATTACCTGACCTGACCAGTATTATCAAATACTGGTCTCTTGACCAGTATTTGATGGTCACATTATCCTGAGGTGAGAGCCAACTAGTCAGCACATTGTGTACGTAAGTATATATATAATGCCAAATAAGATGAACTACCTTTATATTTTAAACGAATATGAACACTTTTATTGACATTTTTGTTGCCTGAGAAGCTTCACTCATTCCTGTCAATGTGATGAATATTGTGATGTAAATTTAAATGTTTATATAAATCTGAAGTTACATATTGTGTTCAGTGATCTGATAAGCATAGAATACCTGCCAAATGTGAGCATTGATATTCTGAAATGTGATGAAATTTTTACTGTACTGTATGTGAAGTTTTACACACAATGGAGCATATATATAATATTGACTCAACATAAACAGTTTTTTGGCATTGAATACAAAATTCAAACATTCTCAGCCAGACGGTTAAGGGTCGGGTTAAATAGCTTAAATGTGTAGAATAGTAAACCCCACATTGAGTTAGGAAAATACTGTCATATATAGATACTTTCATAAGATTTCCCCATTTTGCACCCGCATGATAACATAAGATTTTAAGGGTTGACGAATGTTAATCTTGTTTAAGAACCTGTTTACTTGAGACAGTTAAGCAAGTCCCAGCTGTGTCTGGGTACAAGTGACAAGATGAACCCGGCGGGTTTTCTTCCTATTAGGGATGTGTCCACTCGTAGGATGAGTGGCGCTGCTTAATACTGTCATTAGCGCTGCCCAATACTGTCACTATGGCAGCGTGTCCACTCACAGGATGAGTGGCGCTGTCCAATGAACTCGCCCCTCGAAGCAAAATTTTTTTTTTTTTTAGGATAATGTTGTACTGCAAAGGAATTTTTTTATGATTAATGTTATTATTCTACATTAAAACGTGATAATTTCTTGAATCCCAAGAAATCACAATATTTAAAAGTGAATTTTTTAGTAAAAAAAATAAAAAAAATAAAAAGTTTGATTTATACAGTACTGTAGTTCTTGTTTAGATTGTCCAATAATTCATCAAATTAACACTTATTATATTAGCGCCCCCCCCCCCTTCCTTCCTGTTCAGCTCGTTGCTGCCGTGAGGGGGGCTTAGTGGGCGCCTGCCGGAGTGTGATGCTTCTTGGGGCGGTCCCCCCTGTCCTTTTGTAGCTTTGTGCTCCTGCTGCTGTCCTCTCAAATTTTGCTGGACGCCTTTTCCTTCTGTTTCTTTTTCTCCCCCCCCCCCCCTTTCTCCTTTCTCGTTGTCACTTCCTGCTGACCTTGTGCCAGTTTTGATCATTCTTTTGGCCTTTTGTATTGACGCCCGGGTGCTTGAGAAGGTATACTCTTGCACCCGTAGAACTGTAGTACCCGCCGTCGAGAGCGAGGGGAACCTTTTATTGTCAATCCTCCTTTCGTCACTGAACCCGATCTCGACGGACTGACGGTTCTTAAGGTGGCGTTTGTGGGGCGTATACTCACGACGCACCCCTAGGAGGCCCCGGCAAGATCGGTGATAGCTTCTTGTTGGGTGTCCTGCCTCTAATTGCGGCTCCATGGTGGGTGTGGGGGCACATTCGTGAATGAAAGTTTTCCCTCGTTTTCATGGCTGATAATGTTTTCCTTGTTCTTTCTCAGGCTCGTGGGGTGGGCGACCAAGCCCCCGAGTCGGACTGTGTTGGAAGACCAGGCCCTGCAGCCCCTACTGCATTGGGCCCCGACGACCTGACTACTCCCCTCAGCTCCCCTCCCTCCTCTGCAGTAGGGTCGAGTCCCCAGCCCCCAGTGGTGACCACCTCGTCCCCTGGCACGGCTTCGTCTCTCATTGTGACTACTGCGCCTTTTACCCCCATGAACTCCGGGTGTTCTCAACGCCGTTCCCGCCACGGCCGCACTCGCCCTATCCCTTCCCGTAATAATACTTACAACGCCGTGTTTGGTCCCGCTATGTGGTCTAATTACTTTGATCTCCACCATCTGGATTCTACTCCTCCTGACGATTTCTCCCTCCATAAACACCTTCTTGATTCGGTAGATATGCCTGTTACTTTTCAGTCCACCAGTTACGGTATGCGTGTCGTCGCTGCTCCTTCTCAGGATGCAGCTACTCGCTTAGCCGCTTTATCCTGCATTGGAGAGACCCCTGTTCGGGTCTCCAAGAACACTCGGTTAAATGCCAGTGTTGGCACTGTTCTCCTCCCACACCATGTTGCAACTGGTGTTCGGGACTTTAAAGATTGCCAGGAGGATATTAAACATATCCTCGAAGCCCAAGGCCATCCTGTCCTCCAGATGGGCAACGTTACTTGACCCCCTCGTGGTCGTCGCCGTCATTCCCTTCGAGTTGTAAAAATCGCCTTTGATAGTAGGACCCTTCCGCCCGCTATTATTCTTGCTGGTGCCAGATACTCCGTTCAGGAGTACATTCCCTCTCCTAGACTATGCAATAAGTGTTGGAAGTTCCGGCACGGTGTCTTCAAATGCACCAGTACTGTGTATCTGTGCCCCTTGTGTGGGGACGATAGTCATTCTAAATCCGAGTGCACTTCTCCCCAGGCTCGCTGCCTCAATTGCGGTGAAGCCCACCCTACCTTCTCAGCTCATATATGCACTATAAACTCGAGGAAGCCGTCCTCAACTTGAAGCACTGTGATCGTCTGTCTTTGCCTGAAGCGAGACGCCAAGTTCGTCGTCTCGCCCCTTTCGCGGGCGTCTCCTACGCTCGCGTCTTGCATTCTACCTCTCCTCGTCCCGCTCCCCGCTCAGCTCGTTGTTGCCGTGAGGGGTGCTTAGTGGGCGGCTGCCGGAGTGTGATGCTCCTTGGGACAGTCCTCTGTCCTTTTCTAGCCTTGTGCTCCTGCTGCCGTCCTCTCCAATTCTGCTGGGCACCTTTTCCTTTTCCTTCTGTTTCGTTTTTCTCCCCCCTCTTCTCCTATCTGCTTGCCGTTTCCTGCCGACCTTTTGCTTGTTCTGGTTCTTCCCTTGGACTTCTTCTATTTTGACGCCCGGGTGCTTGAGGCGGCATACTCTTGCACCCGTAGAACTGTAGTACCCGACATAGAGAGCGAGGGGAACCTTTTATTGTCAATCTCCCCTTTCGTCACTGAACCCGATCTCGACGGACTGTCGGTTTCTTAAGGTGGCGTTTGTGGGGCGTATACTCACGACGCACCCCTAGGAGGCCCCGGCAAAATCGGCGATAGCTTCTTGTTGGGTGTCCTGCCTCTAATTGTGGCTCCATGGTGGGTGTGGGGGCACATTCGTGGATGAATATTCCTTTTCGTAATGATGACCCCTGTTTCGGCTGTTTCTGGTTTACCTTCTCAGGCTCGTGGGGTGGGCGACCAAGCCCCCGAGTCGGTCCCTGTTGGAAGACCGGGCTCTGTAGCCTCCGCTGCATTGGGCCCCGACCTTGCTCCTCCTCTGGCCTCTCTGACTCCTTCCCCTGGCTCCCCTCCCTCCTCTGTGGTTGGGTCGAGCCCCAAGCCCCCAGTGGTGACTACCTCGTCCACTGGCGCGGCTCCTTCTCTAGTTGTAACTACTGCGCCTTTTAACCCCTCTCTCTCTGGGGGTTCTCACCGCCGTCCTCGTCACGGCCGCCCTCGTTCCATTCCTTCCAGTTCTGCTACCTATCAAGCCTTGTTTGGTCCCGCTTCGTGGGCCAAATATTTTGATCTCCTCCCTCTTGATTCTGCGCCTCCTGACGATTTCTCCCTCCATCGACATCTCGTTGATTCCGTGGATGCCTCCATTACTTTCAACCCCACTCGTCTCGGTACACGTGTCGTTGCTGCTCCTTCTCAGGATGCTGCTTCCCGCTTGGCTGCCTTATCCTGCCTTGGCGAGACCCCTGTTCGGGTCTCCAAGAACGCTCAGTTGAATGCCAGTGTTGGCACTATTCTCCTCCCGCCCCATGTTGCGACCGGTGTTCGGGACCTACGCGACTGCCACGACGATATTCGACATATCCTCGCTGCCCAGGGCCATTCTATTCTCCAGGTGGACACGTTTACTCGTCCCCCTCGTGGTAGTCGCCGTCAACCCCTCCGGGTTGTGAAGATTACCTTTGATGGTAGGACCCTTCCACCCTCTGTCATTCTTGCTGGTGCCAGGTGCTCTGTCCAGGAGTACATTCCTTCTCCTCGGCTCTGCAACAAGTGCTGGAGGTTTGGGCATGGTGCCCTCCGCTGCTCCGGGACTGTCTCTCTCTGTCCTTTGTGTGGGGGCGAAGGTCACTCTAAGTCGGAGTGCACTTCTCCCCAGGCTCGTTGCCTCAACTGCGGTGAGGCCCATCCTACCTTCTCCCGTGCGTGTGTCCATTACAAGCTTGAGGCAGCCGTCCTCAACTTGAAGCACCGGGAGCGTTTATCTTTTCCTGAGGCGAGGCGCCAGGTTCGCCGGCTCCCGCCTTATGTTAACATCTCTTATGCTCGCGTGTTGCGCTCTTCCTCTCCTCATCCTTCCCGCCTTCCTCAGACTTACAACCGTTTCCGGGCCTTGGACCCTGATGCGCCCACTGCCCCCTCCTCTGTTCCTTTGGGTTCTCTCCCGAAGGGTCCTCCTCCTGGTCCTCTGTCTGGGGTTCCCCTTCCTTCTACCCGGTCTGTCATGTCTCCTGTGTGTTCTTCCTCGTCTCCCTCCGTTCCTCCTTCCCCTCCGTCTCTTGACTCTCCCCGCCGCCTGTCGGTGCGGGCGGATGTCCATCCCTCTCAAACGGCCGTCATGTGTGCTCTCGTTCAGCTTCTCCTGTTGAGACGCTAGAATACGTTGCCCGGTACGTAGTTGCTGGGACACCTGTCTCTTTACGTCAGAAGCGTAAGCTTGGCTCCTGTCCTTCCTCTTCCCTGGCGGGCAAGGTGGTTTCACTTTCTTCCTCGGCCCCTACTTCTGCCTCTTTCGCTGCTTCCCATCCCATTTCGGTGGTTGCGCCCCCTGTTCCTGCTATGGGGGTTTCTTTGGCCCCTGCTTCCCTCTCGGTTGCTGCCCATGCTGAGGTGCGCTCCCCTCTTTCTACTCCCCCTCTTCCTGCTGCTGTCATTGACTGCTCCTCTCCGTTGTCTCCTCCTCTTCCTCCTCCTCCTCCTCCGGACCCCGCCCGCCCACCTCTGATCTGTTCTCCTGTTTCCTTCCCTCCGTCTTTGCTCAGTTTACCCATGCCCCCTAACCCTGACTTTGCTGACCCTGATCCCGACCCTGATATTCATTAACGTGCTCTGTTGCTCTTTCGCCTTTGTTTCTTCCTTGTTCTCTGTTTTTGTCCTTTCTCTTCTCGTCGTTGTCCATTCTTCAATGGAACGTTCGAGGTTATTACGCCAATTTTCTCGAACTCCAACTTCTGATTTCGCGGTTTTCGCCCCTTTGTGTCTGTCTCCAGGAGCCGATGCTTGGTGCTCGTCCTGGTCGTTTTCGTGGCTATTCCTTTCTCTCCCCCCCCCCCCGGCTGTTGCTGGGGTTGAAGTCGTCGTCCAGAGCTCGGGGGGGGGGGGGATGAAGAGAGGCCAGACCTGACCTAGTTGTTGACAACCTCGAATGATTCTTCCTAAGTGTTACATAGCTCTGAGCTACATAGCTCAGTGTTACATTACTTCCAAGTGCTACATAGCTTACATGCTCGGTACTACACACTAAAACACAGTGATCTAAGGTGTGGGCGTCCACCATACTACACACTAATACACAGTGATCTAAGGTGTGGGCGTGCACCATACTACACACTAATACACAGTGATCTAAGGTGTAGGCGTCCACCATACTACACACTAATACACAGTGATCTAAGGTGTGGGCGTGCACCATACTACACACTAATACAGTGATCTAAGGTGTGGGCATGCACCATACTACACACTAATACACAGTGATCTAAGGTGTGGGCGTGCACCATACTACACACTAATACAGTGATCTAAGGTGTGGGCGTGCACCATACTACACACTAATACAGTGATCTAAGGTGAGGGTGTGCACCATACTACACACTAATACACAGTGATCTAAGGTGAGGCATGCACCATACTACACACTAATACACAGTGATCTAAGGTGTGGGCGTGCACCATACTACACACTAATACACAGTGATCTAAGGTGTGGGCGTCCACCATACTACACACTAATACACAGTGATCTAAGGTGTGGGCGTGCACCATACTACACACTAATACACAGTGATCTAAGGTGTGGGCGTCCACCATACTACACACTAATACAGTGATCTAAGGTGTGGGCGTCCACCATACTACACACTAATACAGTGATCTAAGGTGTGGGCGTCCACCATACTACGCACTAATACACAGTGATCTAAGGTGAGGCGTGCACCATACTACACACTAATACACAGTGATCTAAGGTGAGGCGTGCACCATACTACACACTAATACACACCATAGTGATAGAAATATTTGTATCCAAGTCTTAATCTCGTCTAAATTGAATCCTTCCAAGTAGATTTTCTTCAACAATAAGTTATTTTGTATTTTTGGATATATTTATTTATATATATACAAGAGTTCTTACATTGTTGTACAGCCACTAGCACGCATAGTGTTTCCGGCAAGTCCTTAATCATAATTTTTACCCGAAATACGACCCGCCAAAATCGTTTAACAACCACGTACCCCTTTTACTGTTGGGTAAGCAGAGGTCACCGTTAAGGATCGGCGCCCAGTCAATCCTCCAAGGCCAGTGAAGGACGAATTTGTGTTTATTATTGTATAATGTTTAAGGGTGTTACTGCTGTCCACCATTGCCGTTATCTTAACTTTTTCTTCATCCTCTACCAACCCGTCCTTGTCGAGTCCATTACATCCAGCGGTCGACCCCACAGACGCACTCATAAATTTTAAAATGCTTTTCATTCATATCAGGAATTTTCTCAAATAAATAAATATTATATTAAATTAGCATATTGTGCATCAATGAGCATAGGTTAGGTGTTTAGGTTCTGTTGGCGATTATTTGTATTTGTAGTACGTGGGTGAAGCATTTACAGCGTTGTGGTTCGAATAATATTCGTCAGTGAAGCAGTTGTTCTGGAAGTGTTCGAATGAAATCAGTTGTGTGTAAACCGTTTTTCATCATAAACCAACCCGTCCTCGACTCAAGTCCATTACATCCAGCGGTCGACCCCACAGACGCATTCATAAATTTTAATATGCTGTTCATTCGAAACAAGAATTTTCTCAAGTATAAATTAATATTATAATATATTAGCATATTGTGCATACATAGGCATAGGTTAGGTGTTTAGGTTCGGTTGGCGATTATTTGCATTTGTAGTACGTGGGTGAAGCATTTATAGCGATGTGGTTCGAACAAAACTCGTCAGTGAAGCACTTGTTCCGGAAGTGTTCGAACGAAATCAGTTGTGAGTCGTGTGTAACCCGTGTTTCATTCATAAACAAGGGGTTTGGCAGGTGGATGGAATCACTTTTATGTCTTTGTTTGAAGGACGAGCTGGATTGTGCGTCAAGAACGAATCCAACTGAAGTACCACCAGCCCGTCCTCCAAGCAAAGAACCAAAAGTGATTACCTACAGAACCTAAACACCTAGCCTAACCTAAGCCTATATATATGCAAAATATGCTAATATATTATATTATTAATTTATATATGAGAAAATTCTTGTTTTGAATGAGCATGTAAAGATTTATGAATGAGTCTGTGGGGTCGACCGCTGGATGTAATGGACTTGGGTCGAGGACAGGTTGATAAATGCTTCACCTACGAAGCAAAATTACAAATAATCTCCAACAGAACCTAAACACCTAACCTAACCTACACCAAACTATACATAGAATTTTTATGTATAATAATATTAATTTATATGTAAGAACAAACCAATTTTCAATACACAGTTTGTTAAAATTGATGAATGTATCTGGGGAGGACGGCCGCTGCTTGAAGCAGCCTAGAGTGTGTGAATGCCGTCCACTCAGGCGAAAGACGCCAGTGTTGGATCAGCTTGCTTGGAGTGGACATGGGGGACGCTGCTAACAACAATCCGTTAGACCAAGGTCGCCGGAGGCAGGAGGAAGCTCGTTTGACGCAAGTGGCTGCTCGCATGACGCAGGTGGCTGCTCGCATGACGCAGGTGACAGCTCATATCCCGCAGGTAACAGTTCGCTTCCCGCAGGTGACTGGTTGCTTGTCGCTGGTGACAGCTCGCTTGTCGCAGGTGTCAGCTGGCTTGACGCAGGAGACAACTCGCTTGACACAGGAGGCAGCTCGCTTGGCGCAGGAGGTAGCTGGCTTGCGGGAGGTGGCAGATCGCTTGACACAGGAGACGGCTGGCTTGAGGCAGGAGGCAACTAGCTTGTCGCAGGAGACGGCTGGCTTGACGCAGGAGACAACTCCAGGTGGGCAGAGTCCAGCTACCTGGGAGTAGAACGCCTGCCTTCCTCAACATCTACCCGGGGCCCCCAGCATCTACCCTGGGCCCTCAGCATCCACTCTGACTCCCAACATCTACCTTGGGGCCCTAAGCATGCTCTTTGGCCTCCAACATATACCACTGGGCCGCCAGGATCTACCCGAGGGCCTCCAGCATCTACCCGGGGGCCCCCATCTACCCGGGCCCTCCGTCACCTTCCTCCACTCAGCTGAGGTAGGTATTAAAAATGTTGTTTAGGGAAAGTAGACAATGGTTTACCATCAGTGTTGGATCATTAGGTAAAGCATTGCAGTTTACATGTTTACCCGTGGGCCACTATCACTAGTGGCGTCGTCGGGGACAGGAAGCCGGCGTATATACATGGGGCATACTCGCCTAGCCCGGCCTGTCCCCGTCTCGCCCGGCCTCGTCCCCCGCCTCGCCCGCCTCGGTGGGGGCCCCCCCCTCCTTCCAAGCCTCGGCCCCCCCCCCCGCTCCACTCTCCCGCCTCGCCCCTCCCCCCTCCCACGCCAACACCTCCCCATGCCTCGCCTCTCCCCTCCCCATGTTACTTTACAAAATTTAACTTCGCGCACCCCGTAATCTTCCTTACCTTAACCTGACCGTAACCTAACCTTAACCTAATCCTTGCATTAATCCTACATTAAACTTGACCTTAACCTTACCTTCACATTGCCTTAACCTAACAATAACTTTACCTTACCTTAACCAAACCTAACATTGCCTAAACATTGCCTTCACATTGCCTTCACCTAACAATAACTTACCTTACCGTACCTTGCCTTACATTAACCTTAGCTTACCTAATCTTGCCTTACCTTAACCTCTAATCTTACTTTACCTCACCATAACCTTACCTTACCTTCCCTTCCTTAACCTAATCCTTTCCTTAACCTAATCCTTTCCTTAACCTCTTTCCTAAACTAACGTTAAACTAACCTTAACATTGCCCTACCTTACCTTAACCTTCCCATAACGTTACCTTAACCTTTGCTTGCCTAACCTTACCTTACCTTAACCTAATCTTACCCTAACCTCCTAAACTTTCCTTAGGTTACCTCACCCTAACCTTACCTTAATCTTGCCTTAACCTAACCTTGTCTAACTTAACCTTTCTTTACCTTAAGTTAACCTTGCCAGAACCTTGCTTGCCTTATCTAACCTTAACCTAACCATCCATTGCCTTATTTTGCCTTAACGTTACCTTAACCTTTCCTTACCTTACCTAACGTTAATCTTACCTTAACCTTTCCTTACCTTGGCTTTCCTTAGCTTACCTTAACCATACCCTTACCTTAACCTATCCTTGCCATACTTTACCCTACCTTACCTTAACCTTCCCCTAACGTTACCTTAACCTTTGCTTGCCTAACCTTACCTTAACCTAATCTTACCCTAACCTAAACTTTCCTTATGTTACCTCACCCTAACCTTACCTTAATCATGCCTTAACCTAACCTAACCTTGTCTAACTTAACCTTTCTTTACCTTAAGTTAACCTTACCAGAACCTTGCTTGCCTTATCTAACTTTAACCTAACCATCCATTGCCTTAACGTTACCTTAACCTTTCCTTACCTAACGTTAATCTTACCTTAACCTTTCCTTACCTTGGCTTTCCTTAGCTTACCTTAACCATACCCTTACCTTAACCTATCCTTGCCATACTTTACCTTTCCTTAATCTAACCTTACTTTACCTCGCCTTAACCTTACCATAAACTTACCTTTCCTTAACCTAACCCTTGCCTTATCTTAACCTTTCCTAACCTTACCTGAACCAAACCTTACCTTAACGTTTCCTTACTGTAACGTTTCCTTACCTTTACTTCGCCATAATCTTACTTTAACCTTACCCTTTCCTTACCTTAACCTAACCCTAACTTGCCTGAACCTTTCCTTACCTTAACCAAACCTTACCTAACCTAAACCTCATCTTAACCTTACCCTAACCTTACCTGAACATAACATTAACTTTACCTTACCTTATCCTGCCTTAACTGTACCTTATCCTTTCCTTAACTTATCCTTTCCTTAGCCTTAACCTTACCTTAGCCTTAACCTTACCTTATCCTTTCCTTAGCCTTAACCTAACCTTACCTTAACCTAACCTTACCTTAACCTAACCTTACCTTAACCTAACCTTACCTTTAGGAACGAATAAGTGCTGTGAGCTCTTAAATGTAACCCATACCCATGGCCTTCCTCCCTACCAATGAAATAGGTGACAGGAAATGGGTCCGTCACACACACACACACACGCACACGCACACGCACACACACACGCACGACTCGTGGCTCCATAATGGAAGACAGATATATGGCCGTCATTATACAAACGACATTATGCCACTCAGTCACTCCACACCTCGAAGAATGTCCCCGTTATGTGGATAACTTTCAAAATAACACATGACAAGTATTATTGGGTAGATGGGACAGTAGCCTGACTTATTTTGTAAACATGCATCCATAAAGGACTTGATCGAGGGACTAGCGACGTAAATGAACACTGATATTGCAAAATTAAATTGTATATAATATAAATATAATGTGTGTGTGTATATATATATATATATATATATATATATATATATATATATATATATATATATATATATATATATATATATATATATATATATATATATATATATATATATATATATATATATATATATATTATAATTAACATTAATATTATTAATAAATGAGGCAATACTATACAGCTTGCATCACTCAAACAAAACAATATGTACCGGTATATATTTTTGTATTATGTAAATCTGTTTTGGTTAGCTGGTTTCCAGACTGTTCAATGTAGCCTACTCAGACTAAAGGAGAATTTTCTAATTTCCAGATTGCCGATTCCCAAGGTTAGTGAGGCTACCAGACTGATGCTCAAGGAGGTTCCAGGGATCACTGGCCCCGGGGCCTGGCCTCCACCTCCACTAGTCCACAGAAAGTGTACGATACGGTATTCAGGTTTAGGTCCACCTTGAGCCAGGTGCTTGACCACTTTGTGTAATGTTGAAGAAGAGTTTGGGACTAGAAAAATGTTGTTCTTGCCCATTTGTATTTAGGCCAGAGTTTCGATATCTAGTGTTCACATCGTTCAATTTTCTTAGACCAGACTCTGTTATTTGATAATCAATTTTATCCTATGAGGTGAGAGCCAACTAGTCAGTACATATGTATATATATTTATGATGCCAAATAAGATGAATTTACTTTATATTTGAAACTATTATGAACACAATTTTCTTGGCTGGGAAGCTTCACTCATTACTGTCAATGTGATCAATATTGTGATGTAAATATTTATATAAATCTGAAGCTCCATTTTCTGTGTTCAATGATCTGATAAGTACAGAATACCTACAAAATGTAAGCATTAATATTCTGCAATGTGATAAACCTTTTCCTGTATTGTATGTGCACAGTTTGACACGCAGAATGTAGCATATTTATAATATTGCCTCAACGTAAACTTTTTTTTTTTGGTATTGAATACAAAATTTAAACATTTAGCCAGACGGTTAAGGGTCGGGTTAAATAGCCTAAATATGTGTAGAATAGTAAACCCCACATTGTTTGAGATAGGAAAATACTATTTGTCAAATGTAGATACTGTTCTTAAGATACCCCCCCCCCCCATTTTGCACCCTCACGATAACGTAAGATTTTCAGGGTTGACAATGTTAATCTTGTTTAAGAAGCTGTTCACTTGAGACAGTTAAGCAAGTCCCAGCTGTGTCTGGGTACAAGTGACAGGATGAACAACCCAGCGAGTTTTCTTCCTATTGGGGATGTGGTCACTCACAGGATGAGTGACGCTGCCCAATAAACTCGCCCCTCGGGGCAAAATGTAAAAAAAAAAAAATCTAAGAATAATGTTGTACTGTAAAGGAGAATTTTCTAGTCTTTATCAAATTAGAATGAATAAAAATTAATTTTGTGTATAAAAAAATTGGTGTTATTTGTGATGTATATACAGCACTGGAAGTCGTTGTTTAGATTGTCAAATAATTTATCAAAGTAATACATAAGATTTCCCCTCTGTGGTGCCTCCTTGCCGTGGTGAGGGGCTCACGTTACACCTCCCTGGGACCCGTGTGGGTTGCCTGTGCCCCCCTCTCCTGCCCCCTCTTTGGGCGGTGTACCCCCCCCCCTCTCCTGCCCCCTCTTTGGGTGGTGTATCCACTTGGCGATATCATATTCTATCCCAGCTTCATTCTTTTGGCCTTCGTGGTCATCTCCCTCTTTCTCCGCAGCTTCCTCTCTCGTCGTTCCTTTAGGGTGCGGCTTGGTACCGCTCTGCCTCTTTTCAGTTGATGATCTTACCCTTTGCTGTCAGGGTGATGATTCGCCTCTCCTTCAACGCCGGCTTCAACTTGAGATTGATGCCGTGTCGTCTTGGGCCACAGGTCATGGCTTCAAGTTCTCTACTTCTAAGACTTGTGCCATGACTTTTACGCGGAAACGGGTTGTTCTTCGTCCCTCTTTGTCACTTTATGGTCATCCCCTTGAGTACAAAGATTCCGCGAAGCTTTTGGGGTTATTCCTTGACACTCGTTTGTCTTGGTCTCCCCATATCTCTTACCTCCGTGTTGAGTGCTCTAAGGCCCTTACCCTCCTTCGGGTCTTGTCCCATACTTCTTGGGGGGCAGATAAGCGCACTCTCCTTGCTTTACATTCCTCTCTCGTCCTGTCTAAGCTCGATTATGGTTGCCCTGCTTACTCGTCTGCTTCTCTTCCTACTCTTCGCCGTCATGATGCTTTGCACCATACTGGGTTGCGCCTCAGTTCTGGTGCCTTTCGTTCGACTCCCGTCCTTAGCTTGTATGTTGACACTGGCTTCCTGTCTCTCCAGGACCGCCGTGATCGCTACTGTCGTCGCTATCTTGCGCGGTCCTTGCAACATCCTTCCTCTCGCCTCTGTCGTGCTTTAACTTTTACCTCTCCTGCGGTTCATGTTCCTCTTAACCGCCTCCCTCTTTCTGTCCGGTTATCTCGCCTACAGTATTCTTTCCGTTCGTATTTCTGATGTTTCTCCAGGTGTTGTTCCTTCTTTGCCCCCGTGGAGAGTCCCTCTTCCGCGGTTTTGTACATCCTTGACCCGTATCACTAAAGCTTTTACCCCTCCTACGGTTCTAAAACGCCTTTTCCTTGAGCACTTTTCTTCTCACTCCCGCTCCGTTTCTGTCTTCACCGATGGGTCTAAGTCGACGGACGGTGTTGGCTACTCTGTTGTTTTTCCTGATCGAACTTATGTGTCGCTTACCTCCGGAGACTAGCATCTTTACAGCGGAGCTTTATGCTATTCTCTATGCTCTTCGTCTCCTGCTTTCTCGTTGTCAGTCTTCCTTTGTAGTTGTTGTTGACTCTCGTAGTGCCCTCATGGCTCTCGGGTCCTTTAATCCGGTTCATCCAGTGGTTGTCGAGATCCATCATTGGCTGTTTCTTGTTCACAGTAAATTTTAGTCGGTTGAGTTTTGTTGGGTTCCCAGCCATATTGGTGTGTCTTTAAATGAGCGTGCGGATGCTGCCGCCAAGGAAGCTATCCGCTCTTGTCCCATCTCTCATAAAGGTATTCCATATTCCGACTTTAACCCGGTTATCCATTCCTCCGTCCTTACCCGTTGGCAGGCTTCTTGGTTGTCTGTTACTGGTAACAAACTACGTACTCTTAAATGTTGTTTCCTCGTGGCAGTCCTCCTTCCACCGTAACCGGCGGTGGGAAACAGCTCTGGCGAGGTTGCGTATTGGCCATACTCGCTTAACCCATGGCCACTTGATGGAGCGCCGCCCTGCTCCTTATTGTCCTAGTTGCATTGTCCCTCTTACGGTCGTGCATGTCCTTCTTGAATGTCCTGACTTCCAGGACGAGCGTGTCTCTTGCTTTCCGACCGTCCCTCGTGGTCACCTGTCCCTCAATAGAATTCTTGGTGACTCGGATACTTTTGATATCGTTCGCCTTATGCGTTTTTGTTCTCGTATTGGCATCCTTGGTGATATTTAGCGCCCTCTGATTATTTTGCGCATTTGATGGTGCTACATAGCCTTCCCGGTTTGGTGCCTTCTTTTGATAATTACTTACTTACTTACTTCCCGCCAAACACACACCGAAACTATGACGTTTTGTACAACGTTCGAACAGGTTTTAATAACTCCTAACCAGTTATAACAACCAATATAGCAAGTTGTAACAACGTTCTAATATGTCATAAACACGTTAAGCCAAGATGTAACAACTTTAATACAAGATGTAACGCGCGGAAAATAGAGGTAGTTTCGGTTTGTTTCCAGGGTTATATCTCCACCATTACGTCTGAAACTCCTATGCCGCAGATCTGGAAGCGTATCCGCATGATAGCTGGTAAGTTCGGTCCCAATGTCTCGCTGGTCCTTCACCTCCATGATACTCTTGTGGCGGACCCGATGCAGGTAGAGACCAAACTGGGTTCTCACTTTTCATCTGTTAGCTCTGGTTCTCATCTTTCTCAATCCTTCCTTCCTCATAAGCCTATTCTTGTATCTCGATCTTTAGATTTCTGTACACTTCTCAGCCTTCCCTATTACGATCCCTTCTCTCTCTCTCTCTCTCTCTCTCTCTCTCTCTGAGCTTCAGTCTGCCCTGGCCCTCTGTGGTTTTACTGCGGCGGGCACCGATGGCATTTATTATGAGATGCTTCGCCATTTTCCTCCATGCACGTCTCGGTATTTACCGAGTCTGTATAATCGGGTCTGGGAGTCGTCGTCAGTCCCTGAGGACTGGCTCGATGCTGTTGTCCTCCCTGTTCGCAAACCGGGGTCTCTGGGTACTTCCCCTAAGGACTTTCGCCCTATTGCTCTCACAAGTTGTGTCTGCAAACTCTTTGACCGTATTGTTAACGTTCGTCTGATGGGGTTCTTAGAACTTTATCGCCACCTTTCCCCTTCTCAATTTGGTTTTCGCAAGTGCCGCAGCACGACAGATGTCCTGGTGAACTTGGAGGTCTATATTTGTACTGCTTTTGCTGCGAAGACCTCCGTTGTTGCCGTCCTTTTTGACCTGGAAAAGGCTTAAGACACCACTTGGCGTAAACCTTTTGTTCTGTCCCAACTTCATTCTTTTGGCCTTCGTAGAAATCTCCCTCTCTTTCTCCAAAGTTTTCTCTTGTTCCTTTCGAGTGAGGCTTCTTACCACTCTCTCTGCCACTTTCAGGCAGCATAGGGTGTACCTCAGGGTAGTGTTCTGAACACTACTCTTTTTACCTAGTTGCCCTCAATGGTCTTCTTTCCTCTCTTCGTTCTGGCGTCTTCTCCGCTCTCTGTCGACGATCTTACCCTTTGCTGTAGGGGTGATGATTCGCCTCTCCATCAACAAAGGCTTCAACTTGCGATGATGCCGTGTCGTCTTGGGTCACCGATTATGGCTTTAAGTTTTCCATGTCAAAGACTTGTGCTATAACATTTACTCGGAAGCATGTCGTTCTTCGTCCCTCTTTGTCGCCTTATGGTCATCATCTTGTGTAGAGGGATTCCGCTAATTTTTGGGGGTTAATCTTTGACACTCGTTTGTTTTGGGTCAAACACTTGCCTCCGAATTGAATGCTCTAAGGTTCTTATCCTCCTTCAGGTGTTGTCCTATACTTCTTGTGGAGCCGATAGGCGCACTCTCCTCGCTTTACATTACTTTCTCGTCCTGTCTAAACTCGATTATAGTTGCCCTGCTAACTCGATTTCTTCTTCTCCTACTCTTCGCTGTCTTGATGCTTTTGTACCATACTGGGTTGCGCCTCAGTTCTGGTGCCTTCCGTTTGACTCCCGTCCTCAGCTTGTATATTGACACTGGCTTCCTATCTCCAGGACCGCCGTGATCGATACTGTCTTCGCTATCTTGCGCGGTCCTTGCAACATCCTTCCACTCGCCTCTGTCGTGCTTTGACTTTTACCTCTCCTGTGGTACCTGTTCCTCTTCACCACCTCCCTCTTTCTGTCAGGTTATCTCGCTTACAGGATTCTCTTTCAGATCGTATTTCTAATATTTCTCCTCGTGTTGTTCCTTCTTTGCCCCCGTGGAGAGTCCCCCTTCCGAAGTTTTGTACATCCTTGACCCGCATCACTAAAGCTTTTACCCTTCCAACGGTTCTCAAACGCCTTTTCCTTGAGCACTTTTTTTTCACACTCCCGCTCCGTCTCCATCTTCACCGATGTGTCTAAGTTTGCGGACTGTGTAGGCTACTCTGTTGTTTTTCCTGACCGCACTTGTATGTGTCGCTTACTTCCGGAGACTAGCATCTTCACAGCAGAACTTTCTGCTATTCTCTATGCTCTTCGTCTCCTGCTTTCTCGTTCTCAATCCTCTTTTATGGTTGTAATTGACTCTCGTAGTGCCTTCATGGCTCTAGGATCCTTTAATCCAGTCCATCCGGTGGTTGTCGAGATTCAACATTGGCTGTTTCTTATCTCCAGTAAATTTAAATCCATGGAGTTTTGTTAGGCTTCCAGCCATATTGGTGTTTCTTTAAATGAGCGTGCGGATGCTGCCGCCAAGGAAGCTGTCCGCTCTTGTCCCATCTCTCATAAAGGTATTCCTTATTCCGACTTTTACCCAATTATTTATTCCTCCATCCTTACCCGTTGGCAGGGTTGTTGGTCTTCTGTTAATGGTAACAAACTGCGTACTCTTGAGTAAGTAATTATCAAAAGAAGGCACCAAACCGGAAAGGCTATGTAGCACCATCAAATGCGCAGAATAATCAGAGGGCGCTAAATATCACCAAGGATGCCAATACGAGAATAAAAACGCATAAGGCGAACGATATCAAAAGTATCAGTCACCAAGAATTCAATTGAGGGACAGGTGACCGCGAGGGGCGGTCGGAAAGCAAGACACACGCTCGTCCTGGAAGTCAGGACATTCAAGGAGGACATGCATGACTGTAAGAGGGACAATGTAACTAGGACAATAAGGAGCAGGGCGGCGCTCCATCAAGTGACCATGGGTTAAGCGGGTATGGCCAATACGCAACCTCGCCAGAGCTGTTTCCCACCGCGCAAGATAGCGAAGACAGTAGCGATCACGACGGTCTTTGAGAGACAGGAAGCCAGTGTCAACATACAAGCTAAGGATGGGAGTCGAACGAAAGGCACCAGAACTGAGACGCAACCCAGTATGGTGCAAAGCATCAAGACGGCGAAGAGTAGAAGGAGAAGCAGACGAGTAAGCAGGGCAACCATAATCGAGCTTAGACAGGACGAGAGAGGAATGTAAAGCAAGGAGAGTGCGCCTATCTGCACCCCCAAGAAGTATGGGACAAGACCCGAAGGAGGGTAAGGGCCTTAGAGCACTCAACACGGAGGTAAGAGATATGGGGAGACCAAGACAAACGAGTGTCAAGGAATAACCCCAAAAGCTTCGCGGAATCTTTGTATTCAAGGGGATGACCATAAAGTGACAAAGAGGGACGAAGAACGACCCGTTTCCGCGTAAAAGTCATGGCACAAGTCTTAGAAGTAGAGAACTTGAAGCCATGATTGGTGGCCCAAGACGACACGGCATCAATCGCAAGTTGAAGCCAGCGCTGAAGGAGAGGCGAATCATCACCCTGACAGCAAAGGGTAAGATCATCGACATAGAGAGCGGAGAAGACACCTGAAGGAAGAGAGGAAAGAAGACCATTGAGGGCAACCAGAAGAAGAGTAGTGCTCAGAACACTACCCTGGGGCACACCTTCGTATTGCTGAAAAGAGGCAGAGAGAGCGGTACCAAGGCGCACCCGAAAGGAACGACGAGAAAGGAAGCTGCGGAGAAAGAGAGGGAGATGACCACGAAGGCCAAAAGAATGAAGTTGAGATAGAATATGATATCGCCAAGTGGTGTCATAAGCCTTTTCCAGGTCAAAAAGGACGGCAACAACGGAGGTCTTCGCAGCAAAAGCAGTACGAATATAGACCTCCAAGTTCACCAGGACATCTGTCGTGCTGCGGCACTTGCGAAAACCAAATTGAGAAGGAAAGAGGTGGTGATGGTGTTCCAGGAACCACATCAGACGAACGTTAACCATACGTTCAAAGAGTTTGCAGACACAACTTGTGAGAGCAATAGGGCGAAAGTCCTTAGGGGAAGTACCCAGAGACCCCGGTTTGCGAACAGGGAGGACAATGGCTTCGAGCCAGTCCTCAGGGACTGACGACGACTCCCAGATCCGATTATACAGACTCAGTAAATACCGAGACGTGCACGGAGGGAGATGGCGAAGCATCTCATAATGAATACCATCGGAGCCCGCCGCCGTAGAACCGCAGAGGGCCAGGGCAGAACGAAGTTCAGAGAGAGAGAAGGGATCATTATAGGGAAGCTGAAGATGAGTGCAGAAATCTAAAGGACGAGACTCAAGGACAGGTTTACGAAGGAAAGATTGGGGAAGATGAAGACCAGAGCTAACAGAAGAAAAGTGGGAACCCAGTTCGGAAGCGACCTGCAACGGGTCCGCCACAAGAGTATCATGGAGGTGAAGGACCGGTGAAACATCGGGAACGAACTTACCCGCTATCTTGCGGATACGCTTCCAGATCTGGGCCAGAGGGGTCTCGGACGTAATTGTTGAGACATAAGATGCCCAACATTCACGTTTAGCCGTACGGATGCTGTTCATTCAAAACGGGAATTTTCTCGAGTATAAATTAATATTATAATATATTAGCATATTGTGTATATATAGGCATAGGTTAGGTTAGGTGTTTAGGTTCTGTTGGCGATTATTTGTATTTGTAGTACGTGGGTGAAGCATTTACAGCGTTGTGGTTCGAACAAAATTCCTCAGTGAAGCACTTGTTCCGGATATGTTCGAACGTCAGCAGTTGTGAGTCATGTGTAAATCGCTTTTCATTCATAAACAGGGGGTTTGGCGGGTGCATGGTATCACTTTTGGATCTTTGTTTGGAGGACGGGCTGTTTACACACGACTCATAATTGATTTTGTTCGAACACTTTCGGAACAAGTGCTTCACTGACGAATTTTGTTCGAATCACAACGCTGTAAATGCTTCACCCACGAACTAAAATACAAATAATCGCCAACAGAACCTAAACACCTAACCTAACCTAAGCCTAACTATACATAGTATTTTTATGTATAATAATAATAATTTATATATTAGAACAAACCAATTTTTAATACACAGTTTGATAAAATTAATGGATGTGTCCTGGGAGGCCGGCTGCTGCTCTAACCAGCCTAGTGTGAGGCCGGGTTGTTCTACCTTAAATGTATTATTATATACATTCAGTGATAATATGAATACAATCATTAAATCCTGTAGTGTTACTCTATGTATTAAAATATATTGCTTTGAAAACCGTATCAGTCGCTATACAAAATATTGGAGGACTTTAATTACAAATTCGCGACTTTTGACAATTGGGATCTGGCAACCCAGCTTAGGAAAACGACCCCCGAACGCTGTCTATTCAGCCGAAAGACCTCTGTGTTGGATCAGCCTGCTTGGAGTGGACATGAGGGACACTGCCAGCAACAGTCCGTTAGACCAAGGTCGCCGGAGGCAGGAGAAAGCTCGCTTGACGCAGGTGACAGCTCGCATGACGCAGGAAGAAGCTCGCCTGACGCAGGTGACAGCTCGCATGACGCAGGTGACAGTTCGCATGACGCAGGTGACAGAACGCTTGAGGCAGGTGACAGCTCGCTTGAGGCAGGTGACAGCACGTAAGACGCAGGAGGCAGCCGGCTTGAGGCAGGAGGCAGCCGGCTTGAGGCAGGAGTCGGCCGACTTGAGGCAGGAGTCAGCCGACTTGAGGCAAGAGGCAGCTTATTTGACGCAGGAGGGAGTTCACTTGATACAAGAGAGAGATCCCTTGACGCAAGAGGCAGCTGGCGGAAAGCAGAGTCCAGCTTCCTCGGGGTAGAACGCCTGCCTCTTCCACATCTACCCTGGGCCCCCAGGCATCTACCCAGGGCCCAACATGTTTCCTGGGCCCCCAGGCATCTACCCAGGGCCAACATGTTTCCTGGGCCCCCAGGCATCTACCCAGGGCCCAACATGTTTCCTGGGCCCCCAGGCATCTACCCAGGGCCCAACATCTACCCTGGCCCTCCGTCACCTTCCTCCATTCAGCTAAGGTAGGTATCAATAATGTTTAGGGAAAGTGAACAATGGTTTACCATCAGTGTTGGATCTTTAGGTAAAGCATTGCAGTTTACCCGAGTTTACCTGTGGGCCACTATCACTAGTGGCCTCGGCGGGGACAGGAGGCCAGCGCATATACCTGAAGTATACTCGCCTACCCTGGCCTCAACCTCGCCCTTACACATGATACTTTTCGGGTTAGGTGAAATTACGTAACCTCACCTTAACCTTACTTTAACTTTTGGCTTAATCATTGCCTTAACCTTTGCCTTACCTGTAGTAGCAGGTGCAGGCTCTGTAGTTCATTCACTGTCTGTTCCGTGTTCCCAGTGTTCACTTGTCTGTTCCATGTTCACTTGTCTGCTCCGTGTTCCCAGTTGCATGTATACTCAAGCCCGAGCCGCATGTTTACCGTGTCACTTTTGAGCATTTCTCCCCATACTATGCAGGGCAGAGTTCAATCCCCGACCGTTCACAAAGTGGTTGGGCACCATTCCTTCCCTCCGTCCCATCCCAAACCCCTATCCCGACCCCTTCCCAGTGCTATACAGTCGTAATGGCTGTATAGTCGTAATTGGTGCTTTCAATATTTCCCTTTTACGATAAATCGGTATTTTGAGTCATACATGATTGTGTTGCATGGTTTGACTTTACACTATGCCTCTCCTCGCCACTGCTGCCTAAGCCTGAATATTTCTTATTTTGCTTCTTATTTCTCATTGTTAAAACACATTCACTGTCAACTTGTGGTTTTCATGTGGTGTTCCGCCACCTCGTTGACCACTATTCCAACATGAGATGGAAGTCGCATGAATTTCATTGACCTTTCAACTGTAACTCATTTATCCTATTCTTACAGTCCTCGACTATGGACATGAAGACTGGATTTAGATTGTTTAAAGAATCAACTGCTCCTCGGCCATCGACAAATAGTTTTTCGTCTTGACGTACTTCTTCCAAACCTGCCGGAATGATCGGTAGTTCAGCTTGTGTGGATGATGTATAATTTCTAAGTCAAAGGTTAAATTTTCCCTGTTCATGATTCCAGACTCGGTGTATTTCCTTATCAGGACACCACAGTGTCCTGCCATCTTCCGCCACCGCCAAGTTAAAATATACATGTCAACTATTGCCTCTTGTTAACGCAGTTATCATGCTTCCATATACTGTAGTTGTCCCGGTTCATGCTGAATCCTTTTAACCTTCAGGGGTATAATTTTCACTTGTATTTTCCATAGTAGTAGTCCTACTACACTGTCGAGAGTACATCATAGTCCCTGAGGTCATTAGCTCGTGTGGCAAGTGTCTCTTAGTTTGCTGGAGGTGTGTGCGCATCACTAAAGTCTGAACATGTTAACTATGGGAAGGTTATATGCAAGCAATTGTGGAGTTTGGCGCCTAGTGTAAAATGTATTCATCACCCAGCAGGAGCAGCACCTGTCTCGACCATCATAGTCAACAGGTATTTGTGAGTGTTACAATATGTGAATATACACACAGTACTATGCTCCCTTTGTGGTTAATCAGATCCCTGCTTCACACATACAAGGCTAAAATAACTACCCATATTTTCTCGGTATTATGAATAACAAGCTCCGAGCTCTTAAATGTAATCCGTACCTATGGATTTCCTCCCTACCACTGAAATAGGTGGCAGGAATCGGATCCTGGCTAGACTGTAATGGGCCCTCACACAAGACTCGTGGCCCCTTAATGGAAGACAGACATATGGACATTATTATACAAACGACATTATGCCACTTAGTCACTCCACACCTCAAAGAATGTCTCCTTCTTTGGATAAGTTTCAAAATATCACATTGCAAGGATTATTGGGCAGATGGGATAGTATCCCAACTCATTTTGTATACAACATTCATCCGTAAAGGATTTGATCGGGGGACTAGCGACGTAAACGAACACTGACACAGCAAAATTAAAATAAAATTATATATATAGTAGGCAATACTATACAGCTTGCATCACTTAAAAACAAAACAAAAAATATGTACGGGAAGAGGTTTTTGTATTTAAATCTGTTTTGGTTAGCTGGTTTCCAGACTGTTCAATGTAGCCTATTCAGACTAAAGAATTTTCTAATTTCCAGATTGCCGATCTCCAAGGCTAGCGAGGCTCCCAGACTGATACCCAAGGACGTTCTAGGAATCAATGGCCCCGGGGCCTGGCCTCCACCTTCCCTAGTCCACAAAGTGTACGATACGGTATTCAGGTTTAGATCCGCCTGGGGCTTTACCCCTTTGTGTAATGTTGAAGAGGAGTTTGGGACTGGAGAAATGTTGCTGTTGCCCATTTGTATATAGGCCAGGAGTTTTGTATATCTAGTGTTCACATAGTTTAGTTTTCTTAGACCAAACTCTTGTATATGATGACCATATTATCCTGAGGTGAGAGAACCAGCCAGTTAGCGCATTGTGTACATAAATATGATGCCAAATAAGATGATGAACTTGATATTTGAAACGATTATGAACACTTTTTGACATTTTGTTGGCTGGGAAGCTTCACTCATTAAAGTATCAATGTGATGAATATTGTGATGCAAAGTTAAATGTTTATATAAATCTGAAGTTTCATTTTCTGTGTTATGATAAGCGCAGAATTCCTGCAAAATGTAAGCATTAGTATTATGTGATAAACCTTTTCCTAAAATAAAATAAACACAGTGGAGCATATTTATAATACTGACTCGACATACAGTTCTTTGGCATTGAATACAAAATTTAAACATTTTCAGCCAGACGGTTAAATAGCTTAAATATGTGTAGAATAGTAAACCCCACACTGAGATAGGAAAATACTATTTGTCAAATAGACACTGTTCATAAGATTTCCCCATTTTGCACCCGCAAGATAATGTATGATTTTAAGGGTTGACCTTCCCCCCCCCCCCTCTCTGTTCAGCCCGTTGGTGCCGTGAGGGGGGCTTAGGCGGCGGCTGCCGGAGTGTGATGCTTCTTGGGACAGTCCTCTGTCCTTTTGTAACCTTGTACTCCTGCTGCTGTCCTCTAATTGTGCTGAACAACTTTTCCTTTTCCTTCCGTTTCGTTTCGCCCCCCCCTCCCCCCTCTTCTATCTGCTTGTTGTTTCCTGCCGACCTTTTGCTTGTTTTGGTTATTCCCTTGGACTTCTTCTATTTTGACGCCCGGGTGCTTGAGGAGGCATACTCTTGCACCCGTAGAACTGTAGTACCCAACGTCGAGAGCGAGGGGAACCTTTTATTGTCAATCCCACTTTCGTCACTGAACCCGATCTCGACGGACTGTCGGTTCTTAAGGTGGTGTTTGTGGGGCGTATACTCACGACGCACCCCTAGGAGGCTCCGGCATGATCGGCGATAGCTTCTTGTTGGGTGTCCTGCCTCTAATTGTGGCTCCATGATGGGTGTGGGGGCACATTCGTGGATGTTTCTTTTTCGTCCTCGTGTTAAATTCTTTCTCCTTTACCTTCTCAGGCTCGTGGGGTGGGCGACCAAGCCCCCGAGTCGGTCTATGTTGGAAGACTGGGCTCTGCAGCCTCCGCTGCATTGGGCCCTAACCAAGCTCCTTTGGCCTTTCTGACTCCTCCCCTCGGCTCCCCTCCCTCCTCTGTGGTTGGGTCGAACCCCACGCCCCCAGTGGTGACTACCTCGTCCCCTGGCGCGGCTCCATCTCTAGTTGTGACTACTGCGCCTTTTAACCCCTCTCTCTCTCTGGGGGGTCTCAACGCCGTCCTCGACACGGCCGCACTCGCTCGATTCCTTCGTGTTGATATTCATTATGAGATGCTTCGCCATCTCCCTCCGAGCACGTCTCAGTATTTACTGAGTCTGTATAATCGGATCTGGGAGTCGTCGTCAGTCCCTGAGGACTGGCTCGATGCCGTTGTCCTCCCTGTTCGCAAACCGGGGTCTCTGGGTACTTCCCCTAAGGACTTTCGCCCTATTGCTCTCACAAGTTGTGTCTGCAAACTCTTTGAACGTATGGTTAACGTTCGTCTGATGTGGTTCCTGGGACACCATCACCTCCTCTCCCCTTCTCAATTTGGTTTCCGCAAGTGCCGCAGCACGACAGATGTCCTGGTGAACTTGGAGGTCTATATTCGTACTGCTTTTGCTGCGAAGACCTCCGTTGTTGCCGTCCTTTTTGACCTGGAAAAGGCTTAAGACACCACTTGGCGTTATCATATCCTATCTCAACTTCATTCTTTTGGCCTTCGTGGTCATCTCCCTCTCTTTCTCCACAGCTTCCCCTCTCGTCGTTCCTTTCGGGTGCGCCTTGGTACCGCTCTCACTCCCTCTTTTCAGCAATACGAAGGTGTGCCCCAGGGTAGTGTTCTGAGCACTACTCTTTTTCTGGTTGCCCTCAATGGTCTTCTTTCCTCTCTTCCTTCTGGTGTCTTCTCCGCTCTCTATGTCGATGATCTTACCCTTTGTTGTCAGGGTGATGATTCGCCTCTCCTTCAACGCCGGCTTCAACTTGCAATTGATTCCGTATCGTCTGTGGCCAACGATCATGGCTTCAAGTTCTCTACTTCTAAGACTTGTGCCATGACTTTTACGCGGAAACGGGTTGTTCTTCGTCCCTCTTTGTCACTTGATGGTCATCCCCTTGAATACAAAGATTCCGCGAAGCTTTTGGGGTTATTCCTTGACACTCGTTTGTCTTGGTCTCCCCATATCTCTTACCTCCGTGTTGAGTGCTCTAAGGCCCTTACCCTCCTTCGGGTCTTGTCCCATACTTCTTGGGGGGCAGATAGGCGCACTCTCCTTGCTTTACATTCCTCTCTCGTCCTGTCTAAGCTCGATTATGGTTGCCCTGCTTACTCGTCTGCTTCTCCTTCTACTCTTCGCCGTCTTGATGCTTTGCACCATACTGGGTTGCGCCTCAGTTCTGGTGCCTTTCGTTCGACTCCCGTCCTTAGCTTGTATGTTGACACTGGCTTCCTGTCTCTCCAGGACCGCCGTGATCGCTACTGTCTTCGCTATCTTGCGCGGTCCTTGCAACATCCTTCCTCTCGCCTCTGTCGTGCTTTAACTTTTACCCCTCCTGCGGTTCCTGTTCCTCTTCACCACCTCCCTCTTTCTGTCCGGTTATCTCGCCTGCAGGATTCCCTTTCCGTTCGTATTTCTGATGTTTCTCCTCGTGTTGTTCCTTCTTTGCCCCCGTGGAGGGTCCCTCTTCCGCGGTTTTGTACTTCCTTGACCCGTATCACTAAAGCTTTTACCCCTCCTACAGTTCTAAAACGCCTTTTCCTCGAGCACTTTTCTTCTCACTCCCGCTCCGTTTCTGTCTTCACCGATGGGTCTAAGTCAGCGGACGGTGTTGGCTACTCTGTTGTTTTTCCTGATCGCACTTATATGTGTCGCTTGCCTCCGGAGACTAGCATCTTTACAGCGGAACTTTATGCTATTCTCTATGCTCTTCGTCTCCTACTTTCTCGTTGTCAGTCTTCCTTTGTAGTTGTTGTTGACTCTCGTAGTGCCCTCATGGCTCTCGGGTCCTTTAATCCAGTTCATCCAGTGGTTGTCGAGATCCAGCATTGGCTGTTTCTCGTTCATAGTAAATTTAAGTCGGTTGAGTTTTGTTGGGTTCCCAGCCATATTGGTGTGTCTTTAAATGAGCGTGCGGATGCTGCCGCCAAGGAAGCTGTCCGCTCTTGTCCCATCTCTCGTAAGGGCATTCCGTATTCCGACTTTTACCCGGTTATCCATTCCTCAGTCCTTACCCGTTGGCAGGCTTCTTGGTTGTCTGTTACTGGTAACAAGCTACGTACTCTTAAATGTTGTGTTTCCTCGTGGCAGTCCTCCTTCCACCGTAACCGGCGGTGGGAAACAGCTCTGGCGAGGTTGCGTATTGGCCATACTCGCTTAACCCATGGTCACTTGATGGAGCGCCGCCCTGCTCCTTATTGTCCTAGTTGCATTGTCCCTCTTACGGTCGTGCATGTCCTTCTTGAATGTCCTGACTTCCAGGACGAGCGTATGTCTTGCTTTCCGACCGCCCCTCGCGGTCACCTGTCCCTCGATAGAATTCTTGGTGACTCGGATACTTTTGATATCGTTCGCCTTATGCGTTTTTGTTCTCGTATTGGCATCCTTGGTGATATTTAGCGCCCTCTGATTATTTTGCGTCTTTGATGGTGCTACATAGCCTTCCCGGTTTGGTGCCTTCTTTTGATAATTACTTACTTTCTTGCCAAAGAAAATATAGAAAGTTTTGTCAATATTAAAGGTGAGTTTGTTGGCAGTTAGCCAGTGATGGACTTTATTTAGCTCAGTATTTACTGTGACATTTAGAGCAAGGGGGTCAGGACTGGAGTAAATGAAAGTCGTGTTGTCAGCAAATAGAATTGGTTTGAGATGTTGGGAGGCATTTGGGATGTCATTAATGTAGATGAGAAAGAGGAGAGGGCCAATTAAGTATACTGCCCTGAGGAACACCAATGTTGATGGATATGGGTGGGAGAAATTGAATTATTCACAGAAACATATTGGAGCCTGTTAGTAAGGTAAGACTTAAGGTACTGCAGGGAGTGACCTGACTCCATAATGTTGTGATTTAAGAAGAAGGTTTTGGTGGTTAACAGTGTCAAAAGCCTTACGCAGGTCCACAAGTAACCCAATAGGGAACTCATTTTTATCAAGATTATATGTTAGCGTTTCGGGCAGGTCCTTAATCTATGTCATGTTAGTGGCTTTACAACAATGTAAAACGTCAAATCTTTGTACTTTCTTGAACATAATGTACCTTCTTGTTTAAAAATAAATAAATAGATCTCTGTTAAAGGGATTCTGTCTGGGACGTGTGCTTTTGGTGTTGTGTGACTGGCAGGTGTTTGAAGTGGGGTGTTGGGTATGTCATTTTGCGGTAAGGTATCCTGTGAAGATTCAATGAGTGGTGTGACCTGAGCGGGTAGTGGAGGAGGGTTAGCTGGTTGCAATTGAGTTAGTCTCTGCTGAGCGAGTTGTTCAGGTTGTTCGTTTTCTGTAGTGGGTGGAGAGGCAATGAGAGCATGGGGAATGGAGGGACTAAGGAATATGCGGTGTTTGAAACGTTGGAAAATGGTGGAGGGGATTGAGATGCCGAACACACTAGGGCTGGTCCCAAGAATGATGGAGAGGGACACTAATGATAGGAAACCCATTGTGTTGGAGATAAAGTGGAAGGTTATCAGCAACAGCGCGTATGTTCCATTTGGCATGGAGCATGGTTGAATAAGATTTAATGGCCTGTTACCTGCCCGGGCAATGTTGGTCAACAGCAGTGTGAGGGACCGTTCCAGTTGAAGCCTTTGAGTGTGGCTCCTAAGCTTCACCAACGTCAAAAAAACGGTCAATTTAAAGTGCCCTTATCCTAACCTACCAGAGGACATAAAACAGAAAACGGGACAGTAAGTCACATTTGCAAGCCGCTTCCATTTTCCAGTACGACCACTTTTGGCCGTATGTAACGCATACGTGCGAAACGCGATGTTCTTAATAGGAGGACAAGTTGCCAGGTGAACAATGTGTCCAGAAGTGACTTGGGGCAGAGTAAAATAAATAAATAAAATAAATGTTTATTTAGGTAAGGTACATACATACATACAAGAAATTTTTACAAAGATTGGTTGACTTATAGGTAGAGC